AAACTTGCTTTCACTTTACCAGCTCTCCTTGAATTCTTTCTTCTGCAAGATCCAAGAGCCCTCTTTTGGGGTCTGGATCCAGACCCCTTTCCTGTAACAATATCCTTGTAAACAAAAATAAAATTCTAAGCCACTTAGCTTAATGAATGGACTCCTTTTGGCCAAGTGGATCCCAATTAAAAAACTTGTTAAGGCCATGATGGGAAGTGGAGATTGAGGCCAGACATACTTTGTTATGCATTCGTCCCTTTGGAGTTTAGGCACAACTGACCACTATTAACATTAAAATAGAAATCATAAGACTGATAAAACAGATTGTTGGTAGTTATAACACACCCAACTCCAGCCTGATTCTGGTATAAGATCACATGACAGTGGCCCTAAAGGAAATCAAAGTATTTTATCCCAAAATATATTTCTTTGACATATTTTGGAATGGGCCTGCAAAGCTGTCTCCTGTGGGGGAAATCTGCATTTTGTAGAGAATCCCCTTCTCTTTCCAGGTCTTTTCCTAATCCAGGAGAGATTTAATACCTTTTAAGGTCTGATATACATTTATTATCTATACTCTCAGAAGCCTGTTACTTAGAGGCATCATGTACATAACAAGAACCTTGGCTTCCACAACCTCCCTTATCTTAAGCATTTCTTTATGTCGACTTCAATTTCTCAAGCAAACTAGACACACCCCTCCACCCACATTCTGGCTCCCTGCTTCAAGATATCCTGCCTTTTATACCTTATAGATACTGATTGATGTCTTTACATCTGTCTCTCTAAAATGTATAAAACCAAGCTATAATCCAACCACCTTGGGCATATGTTCTCAGGACCTCCTGAGGCTATATCACAAGCAATGACACTCATATTTGGCTTAGAATAAACCTCTTCAGGCTGGGTGAGGTGGCACATGCCTGTAATCCCAGCACTTTGGGAGGCTGAGGCGGGTGGATCACCTGAGAGGTCTGGAGTTCGAGACCAGCCTGACCAACATGGAGAAACCCCATCTCTACTAAAAATACAAAATCAGCTGGGAACGGTGGTGCATGCCTGTAATCCCAGCTACTCAGGGAGGCTGAGGCAGGAGAATCGCTTGAACCCAGGAGGTTGCGGTGAGCCAAGATGGAGCCATTGTACTCCATCCTGGGCAACAGGAGTAAAACTCTGTCTCAAAAAAAAAAAAAAGTAAACCTCTTCAAATATTTTACAGAGTTTGGCTTTTTTGTCAACAACCTCAAGCCTCAAATAACAAAAGCAGTCCAATAATGCACTGAAGTGAGAACCAGCTGTTACAAGAAAGGGGTCCCAATCCAGACCCCAAGAGAGGGTTCTTGAATATCATGCAAGAAAGAATTCAGGGTGAGTTTGCAGTGCAAAGTAAAAGCAAGTTTATTACGAAAATAAAGTGGTGAAAAAACAGCTACTCCACAGACAAAGGAGGATGTTACTGAAAACGAGGAGGAACGCATCCACTCTAGGTACAATGCTTGTATAATGGGGAGATGTGCTCTGCTACAAGGGTTTGTGATAAAGGATTAATTTTCTTAATTACTATATTTTGCAATAATTGATGTAATTATCTTTAAAGCAACATTAGGGATGCCTTTGTTTTCCAGATATCAGGATATCTGGACATTCTCAAGTCTGGGTCTGTTTAGGAAACTTTTTTTTTTTTTTTTTTTTTAGACAGAGTTTCGCTCTTGTTACCCAGGCTGGAGTGCAATGGCGCGATCTCGGCTCACCGCAACCTCCACCTCCTGGGTTCAAGCAATTCTCCTGCCTCAGCCTCCCGAGTAGCTGGGACTACAGGTGCGCACCACCATGCCCAGCTAATTTTTGTATTTTTAGTAGAGACGGTGTTTCACCTTGTTGACCAAATGGTCTCGATCTCTTGACCTCGTGATCCACCCGCCTCGGCCTCCCAGAGTGCTGGGATTATAGGCGTGAGCCACAGCGCCCGGCCAGGAAACATTATTAATTTCTTCCCTTAACTGTAAACATTTAGAGGTTAGGAATGCCTAATTTTCTGAGAATGCAGTCCAGCAAGTCCCAGCCTTATTTTCCTAGCCTTCACTCAAAATGGAGTCACTCTAGTTCAAATGCCTCTGACACAGTAACTATGTGAGTATGCCCTTAGCTATGTGCTACTTATTTTCCAATGTCAACTCTTTCATTGACAGTGTCCCTATGTTTCTGAGAAAGGGATAGCTCAGGGAGTCTGAAAGGGAATTAGCTTTACAGTCTCCCCAGCTATTGATGCCTCTCTATAGCGAGCCACAGTGAGGGGGAGGCCAGTCAGCAACCTGGAGTGGGGTTCTGCTTCCCTGATCCAAATAGCTTCTTTTTTCTGTGTACAAACTAGATCTTTATAAGAGCTTCAAGCTGTTCTTTACTAAAGAGTCAAGTGAATGTTCCTGAGTCACTTGGAGTCCATAGGCAGAGACAGACATTCAGCTTTTGGTCTACTCCTCTCCCCAGCCCTAAGCAAGAGGAGGGCAGGACCTCACTTCATAAGCCATCAGGTAACAGGCTATCTCTGGAGCAATTCTCCCTTTCTTTTAGACAAGCCACCCTTTAGCCCTCAGAATAAAGATTCAGCCCCTAGTTTCTTTTGCATTTCATAATTATTTTTGCTTAATATATCCACTGGATATACACATGTTCCTTCTGCTTTTTTGTCTCCATTTGTCTCTGCACAGAGAGATTCTGTAAAGAGGGAAGAATGAGGGGAGTCCACTGATTGCTTTCCAGATGCATCTGGTTTCCTCCTAAAGTACTACAACTCAATGTGCCATTATGAGGATTAATTGAGGATTAATTTTAATTCCATCACTATGCAATCTAATCTACATTAGAAACGTCTAATCTTCCTTTTGACATTTGTTCCTTTATTTTTTTTTTGTTTTCATTTCAAAGGACCCTCACATTAACTGCACTTGGCTCTACTTAAGCCAGCTGGTTAACCAAAGCTAGGATTTAAATGTTTCTCTTTAATCCTCAAGTTTATTCTCTGATAATGGGGTGGAAAAGTGGTTAGTCTCCTTTTATGCCACTACACTAGTGGAATGCTTAGTTGTTTTATAAACTTGTAAGCACACAAAGCCACAGATACTGACTTGCACAAACTTAAGCAGAAGGAGATTATTGGAAGACTGTTCAGAAGCTCAGTGATGGGAGCCAGGACAATCAGACCTGGAAATGAGCAGGAATCAAGAGGGATCTGGGGGATTGGACATTAGAAGCCCAAGCAATTTTTTTGAAGCAAGATTGTGAAAAGTGCATACTATTCTTGTGGGAATAACGTCCACGTTTTCCTGCTGCCTGCCTGTCAACAGCTCAACAGTCAAAGCCCCAGAAAAAGCATCTGATGACTGAGATTGGGCCCTGGTCCTGCAGAGTCAAGGAGGGCAAGGATCTGTTTCCTTCAGCTTTGGTAATGGAATGTAGTCACCAGCAATGTCAGCCCTGCTAAGACTACACACAATGTAGATCTGTGAATTCCAAAAGGAAATGTGGAGGCTCTTACAGCAGCCAAAACAAAACAAATGCCTACCAGAACTGTTTTTTTTTTTTTCTCTTTGAGATCGAGTCTAGCTCTGTCTCCCAGGCTGAAGTGCAGTGGCGTGATCTCGGCTCACTGCAACCTCTGCCTCCCGGGTTCAAGCCATTCTCCTGCCTTAGCACCCCCCAAGTAGCTGGGACTATAGGCGCACACCACCACGCCAGGCTAATTTTTGTATTTTTAGTAGAGACAGGGTTTCGCCATGTTGTCCAGGCTGGTCTTGAACTCCTGACCTCAAGTGATCCACCCGCCTCGGCCTCCCAAAATACTGGGATTATAGGCATAAGCCACTGAGCCTGGCCAGAACTGTGTTTTCAGTGGGCTTACTGAAATGTAGGAGAAAGGAATTGAGAAATAAGGATGGAAGGGAAAAGGGAGAAGGGTGAAAGAAAATGGAAGTGGGCAAGAAAGCATGAAACATCCACTCAAGAAAAACTGTTCTTTGGCAATAGGTACATCTCTATGCAAGTCAGCATGGCTTTTTTCCTCTAACATGATTTTAGAAGCTCTCTGAACGCTCAGAGAACAGAAAACACACCTTGGTGACCTAGAAGTATAGTCATCTTTTTTGACCACCAGATGGTGATTTACGTATAGATAGGAGGACAAGAATCCTTAGAACGTTCCCAAACACTTGCATGTTTATGAAGCTCTTTTACTTAACAATCATTCAAGAAATATTGGGGAAATGCAAGCCCAGATGAGGGATTCCTAACTTACCTGTACAGATAGGCAGGGGAAGTTTTCCTTACAACAGCTGAGGCTTGCACCAAAGGACAGGATACAGATTGGGAGGGGAATTCCAATTTAAGAAGTAGAGAGGCTTGAGAAAGCATATTGCCTTCTAGGAATCACAGGTGGTGGACTGAGAATGGACAGTATTTCAGGTGGAGGAAACTGAACAAAGGTGTGAAAAATGTACGCACAGATTTAGATTAAACCATGGCTATTCAATTGTTTAGCTTGTTATTGGGATTATCTCAATTCTACAGCATATGACCTAACCTTGGAAAAGTAGGCTCTTTGGGACTCTGATTCTATCCCTCAGAATACTCACTGTTTTCCTTAGCCAGTCCTTGCTCTTTAGTGTCCCCATTTTCTTTTTTTTAATAAACATTTGTAATTTTATTAAAAAAAATCACAATCATGAACACTGTTAGAGTTAGAGACCCTCTTGGTTCTCCACAATGATACTAAGCATGCTCACAAGGGGATCCCATTGTTAAGTCTTAAACAACCATTTTTTAAAAGAAGGAAAAAAAAACTCCATACACTACCATTTAACTTGTTTTAATGTTTCTTCACAAATGGTGAAAAATACTAAAGTACAGACAGGGAATAATTATAATGTTGTGGCCAACATTATAAATATGGAATTATAAATTTAAAACATTTTCTGGTTTAAAAAATAAATCTGGTAGTCAATGCAGCTCTGTGGGGTCTCTGCATCTAATGGGGCCGATCTCTGCGCTCCTGACGGTGTTTCCCTTTATCCATTTTTCCAGGTCCTGCACGTCCTCCTCTTCTTCCTCCCATCTGTTCCATCAAAGGTCCAGGGGACCTCCCCAGGGCCACCTCGTCTTCCTCCACCAAAGCCACCTCGGTCCATGCCCCAGCCACCACGGAAGCCACCTCTGTCTCCACCATGGCCACCTCTGAACATTCCACCTGGGACCACCACTACCCATGAGGCCACCTCTTTCTCACCGCATGCCACCAGGGCCACCTCTGCCATGATCACCACCTGGGGGTGGGAGGAAGCCTTCAGGCTTTGGGGCCTTACACTGGTTGCACTCTGTTCTCCAGGCAAAGTTCTGGTTTCCACAACCCGGACTGGGACACTGCCAGTCTCCAGCTTGGTGCCGGACGTTTCCTCCTCCAGAGGGGTTCCCTTGGGAACCCTGGGGTCCTCTGGGAGGGAAGCCTCCTCTATCTCCTCCACGGCCTCCCATGTGACCCACGGGTCCCCCAGGACCTCCTGGCCCTCCATGGAGTGGTGGTGGCATCCCTATGCCCTCATGGGGTGGCATACCACCCTGCATATTGTTCATTGGAGGCTTCTTCCGAGCAAGAGAGACTTTAAGTTTGCTCTCTTGAAAGTCTTTTTTTTTTTTTTTTTTTGAGACGGAGTTTCACTCTTGTTACCCAGGCTGGAGTGCAATGGCGCGATCTCGGCTCACCGCAACCTCCGCCTCCTGGGATCAGGCAATTCTCCTGCCTCAGCCTCCTGAGTAACTGAGATTACAGGCACGCACCACCATGCCCAGCTAATTTTTTGTATTTTTAGTAGAGACGGGGTTTCACCATGTTGACCAGGATGGTCTTGATCTGTTGACCTCGTGATCCACCCACCTCGGCCTCCCAAAGTGTTGGGATTACAGGCGTGAGCCACCGCACCCAGCCGAAAGTCTTTACCATCAAACCACTCCACTGCAGCCTTGGCAGTAGGTGGGTCTTCATAGGACACTGTGGCATCGCCTTTGGGCTTTGCTGTTTCCTTGTCCAGGTAGATGTGGATCGTGGGTTGCCCAGTACTCTTGTTCTTCTTAACAACCCCACACTGCTTAAAGAAGTCTGCCAGATCATCTAGAGTCACATTATCATTTAATCATTGTACATAAATTGCACTGTTGTCAGAATCTTCATCTGGATCTACAGCTGGGCCTAGATCAAGATCTGGTCCTTCGTCCATGGGTCCACCAGGCTTACTGAAGCCACCTCGCTCTCCAGCGCCCATTCCACCGTGTCCTCCTCCCTGCCCACCTCTGCACATGCCTCCACGATCAAATCCCCCTCTTCCCCTGCCCTGGTTATCAGGGCTACTCATGCTCTGGTTCTCTCCTGGTCCAGAAAATCCTCCAGACTCCTGCCCATAAACACCCACGCTACTGGGGTGGTCCTGTTGGAATGAACTCTGCTGCTCTGTTGGCTATATTCACTTGGAGCCTGGCTGTAGGATCCAGTTTGGGGTGGGTAACTAGTGGGAGGCTGTTGCTCATAGCTCCTTTGTTGACCATAGCTACTCTGCTGTCCATAGCTGCTCAGTTGCCCATAGGTGTTCTGCTGAGAGTAACTGCTTTGATCATAACTAGTCGGCTGTGTAGAGGAATAGGTAGGAGGGTAGGATGGAGGTGCGGTGACTGGCTGCATAGGGTAGCTCCCAGGTACCTGGGGATAACTGTAGTTACTCTGTCCATATCCTAGGCTGGGCTGGTTGTAACCTCCTGTGCTAGATTGAGGTTGACTAGTCTCAGTGGGCTTGTTACCATCCTGCAGTCTTATAGGTGCAGTGGCTGCTGGCTGCTGCCCATAGGCTGGATGAGCAGGCTGAGTGCCATATGCAGACTGAGCTGCGTAGGAGGCCTGGGTGGTGGTGACTGTAGCAGTGATGGTATCATAAGCACCAGTGCCATACCCCTGGACAGGCACTGGCCAGGCAACTGCGGGGGCAGTTGGAGTAGTATAACCAGTGGGAGGCTGTCCATAAGAAGTTGCATAGGCGGTCTGCTCATAAGTTGCAGCGGTCTGAGCCTGGGTATAGCTAACATCAGTGGGCTGTCCATAGGTTCCATAGCTTTGTTGCCCATATGCCTGGGTGGTCTGTGCATATCCTTGAGTGGGCTGGGCGCTGTAAGCACCCTGCTGCGCTGCAGCTTGGCTATAGGTACTATAATCCACGGACACCATTTTTTCTCCTCACGTCTCCATTTTCTTGTCCTTTTCTGTGCTAGAGGTATACTGAAACTGACTCATTGCAAAACAGGTATTACATTAAATATACTGAACCTCAAATGTTTATGGAACACTTAATACTATACAGAATAATAAGCAAAAGTGGCTGGGCATGGTGGCTCATGGCTGTAATCTTAGCACTTTCGGAGGCTGAGGGGGGCGTGGATCCTGTGAGGTCAAGAGTTCTAAAACAGCCTGGCCAACATGGCAAAACCCTGTCTCTACTAAAAATACAAAAATTAGCTGCCTGTAATCTCAGCTACTTGTGAGGCTGAGGCAGGAGAATAGCTTGAATCCAGGAGGCGGAGGTTGCGGTGAGCCAAGATTGTGCCACTGCATTCTATCCTGGGCGATACAGCAAGACTCCCCCAAAAAGGGCAAAATAAGCAAAATCCCCTATTCTATAACACTGATGCATCTGTTTGCAACTTATTCCATGATTTAAGCAATCATTATGTATTCTTTCCTTATAATGTATCAGATATTGTGTTAGCACTTTACATATATCTCACTTAATCCTTAATATAATCTGGAAATATAATAATACACATTTTATGGATGGTGAAACAGGAACTCAGAGAAGTTGAATAGCCTGCTCAGGGTTTCCAAAATAGCTAAATTAAAGGCCTAGGGTTTAGTTTTCCACTAAAGATTCTCATAGCTGGCTTCTTTACATCATTCAGGTCTCTGCTCAAATGTAATCTTAGAGAAGCTACATTAATCTATCTGAAATAGCCACCTTACCGTGCATCCAATTGTCCTGCCTAATTTTTCTTTTAACTTATTATATTATTTATATTTGTATTATCTGTGTCTCCTACTAGACTATGATCTGTTAGGGCAGACTCTCAGTTGTATTCGCTGCTCATTACCACACTACTCAGACCAGAGCCTGGCACATATTAAGGCGCTCAAAAATTTTTTCTTGAAGAAGAATTGACTCTTAGACCCAAACTCTTAGCCACTATGCTATATTTTGTACCTTGATAGGATTAAGAAGGTTTACATTTTGAATAACCTGATACCAAAAAGCATGCTGCATAAAGCCTATACACGGAATGTGCCAAATGGTATGTACAATGCCAGTCTATATGCTTTTAAACTTCGAGTTTAATTTGTATACAGTAAAATAAATACATCTTATGTATATATTTTTACAAATGTATACACTTTGTAACCACCAGCCATATCAATATATAGAATATTTTTTAGCCCCCAAGGAAGCTCTCTTGTAATAACTCACAGCCAATACTCGGTTTTCATGTGTTGACGAAATATATAGGTGATTTTTGTGTGTTGACTGTGTATCCAGAGATAAATATTCTGACTTCTATCACATAGGTTAGCTGCTGGTTCTTGAGCTTCACATAAATGCAATCATATAGTTTGTACTCTTATGTCTCTCTTCTTTTGCACATCATAATATTTTTGAGATTTATCTGTGTTCTGTATATCAGTGGTAGTTTATTAATTTGTTTATACATTCACCTACTGGTGGGTGTTTAGGTTGTTGCCAAGTTTTGGTTATTAAGTATAAAGCTGCTTTAAATATTCTTGTATAGTTTTTACAGACATATGTACTTATTTTAGGGGGCATATACTTAGGAACAGAATTGCTACATCATAAGGTAGATGTTTGTTTCACTTTGTTTTCTGAAAAGTGCTGTTCAAGTGTTTTGCCCATTTAAAACACTTTCTTATTGATCTGTAGAGTTATTTATGGATATAATCCTTTATCAGATGTAAGTATTGCAAATATATTCTCCTACTTTATAATTGCCTATTCAATTTACTGCTAATGTATTTTGATAATAGAAGTTCTCAATTTTAATCAATTTTGTTTCTTAAAGTTAGTGCTTTTTCTGTAATGTTTAAGAAATCATTGTCTACCCCGGCATTGTGAAGTTATTCTGTTTCCTTCTAGAGCTTTATTGTTTCAGATTTCACAGTTGGGTATATGATCCACCTTCAATTAATTTTTGGATTTGGTGTGAGTTAGAGTTTATTTTCTTTCCCATATGGATATACAGTTGTTGAAGTATCATTTAATAAAAACATCATTTCCCCACTGAATTGTAGTAACACCTTTGTTATCAACTAAATGACTGCATATGCAGGGGGTATTTCTAGACTCTATTACATTGGCCTATTTGCCTGTCCTTGCACCAATACCACACTGTCTTAATTACTGCCGCTTTATAGTTAGTCTTGAACTCTGATGGTAAACTTTTCAATTTTATTCTTCTTTAATATTGTTCTTGGCTATTTTAGGTTCTTTGCATTTCCATATAAACTTAAGATTTATCCTGCTGAAGTTGACCACATATTTCACCAAGGTTTTTAGAGATTGGGTTTGCATTGAATCTACTTATCAAATTGGGGGAAATTGACATCAATTTTCAATCTTTTGATTCATGCACATAATATAGCTCTTCAATTATTTACATCACCTTTAATTTCTCTCAGCAATATTTTGTAGTTTTGACTATTATTTGCTTTATGGAACTCCTCTTAAATTTGTTCCTAAATATTTGATTTCTAAATGTTACTATAAATTACATTTTAAAGTATTTTATTTTCTGATCATTTCTTGATAGTATGTAGAAATACACTTGGTTTTCATGTGTTGACTTTGTATCTAGAGGGCTTACTAAATTAATTCTAATAGTCTGTATAGTTTTAGATTTTCTGGCTTTACAATCATGTAATACATAAATGAAGATAGTTTTAGTTTTTGTTTTTAATCTTCATACCTTTTATTTCTCTTTCTTGGCTTATACAACTGTCTGGGACCTACAGCATAATGATGAATAACAGTAGTGGTAGTAGGATCCCCATCTTATTCTTGACTTTGGAGAGAAAACTTTAACCACTGATAATGACATAGCTACAGGGTTTTATTCCTAGATAACCCTTTGAGATTAAGGATATTTTATTCTATTTCTCCTTTGTTGGGGATTTTTTTCTAAAATCATCAATGCATGTTCAGCTTTATCAAATATGTTTTCTTCACTTATTAAGATGATTTTATTCTCCTCCTTCCCCCAATATTATTCTGTTAATGTGGCAAATTATAATAACAGAATTTTAAAATGTTAAATCAACCTTTTATTCCTGGAGTAAATCCTTCTCTGTGATGGTATATTATGTATATTTTTAAATTCCTGGAATCCCATTTATTTATATATATATTTTTTGTTTTTAGAGACAGGGTCTTGTTCTGTTACCCAGACTGGAATGCAGTGGTGTGGTCATAGCTCACTCTAACCTCATACTTCTGGGCTCACCTGATCCTCCCACGTCAGCCTCCTGAGAAGCTAGGGCTACAGAAGCATGCCACCACACCCAGCTAATGTAAGCAATTTTTTTTAGAGACAGGATATCACTATGTTGGCCAGGCTGGTCTCAAACTCTTGGGCTCAAACAATCCTCTTGCTTTGACTTCCCAAAGTGCTGGGATTATAGGCATTAGCTATCACACCCTGCCAATTTACTGATATTTTGTTAGGATTTTTACATCTATGTTCATGAGAGATTCTGGACTATAAATTTTCTTACTTGTAATGTCATATTTTCATATCAATGTTTTGCCAGTCTTTGAGTTCAGAAGTGTTTCCTCTTTTTTTAATTCTCTGGAATAGTTTGTGTAAATTGCTATTATTTGTTCTTTAATTATAAGCAAGAATTCAGCATTAAAGCCATATAAACCTGGCATTTTTTTGCAGGAAAGTTTGTTTTATTTTATTTTTTGTTTGTTTTTTTTTTTTTTACACGGAGTTTCGCTTTTGTTACGCAAGCTGGAGTGCAATGGCACGATCTCGGCTCACCGCAACCTCCGCCTCCACTGGGTTCAGGCAATTCTCCTGCCTCAGCCTCCTGAGTAGCTGGGATTACAGGCACGCGCCACTGTGCCCAGCTAATTTTTTGTATTTTCAGTAGAGATGGGGTTTCACCATGTTGATCAGGATGGTCTCAATCTCTTGACTTTGTGATCCACCCACCTCGGCCTCCCAAAGTGCTGGGATTACAGGCTTGAGCCACTGCACCCGGCCGAAAGTTTATTTTTTAAATAAACATCTATGAAAGTAATTTGCTTTGTTGATGTCAGCACAAAGTCAGTCATTTACTTTCTTTTTGTTGTTGTTGTTGTTGTTGAGATGGAGTCTTGCTCTGTCTCCCAGGCTGGAGTGCAGTGGCACAATCTCAGCTCACTGCCTCTGCATCCTGGGTTCAAGTGACTCTCCTGCCTCAGCCTCCCGAGTAGCTGGGATTACATGTGTGAGTCACCATGACTGGCTAATTTTTGTATTTTTAGAAGAGACAGGGTTTTGCCATTTCGGCCAGGTTGGTCTTGAACTCCTAACCTCCAGTGATCCACCCTTCTTAGTCTCCCAAAGTGTGGGGATTACAGGCGTGAGCCCACCATGACTAGCTAATATTTGTATTTTTAGTAGAGACAGGGTTTTGCCATCTTGGCCAGGATGGTCTTGAACTCCTGACTTCCAGTGATCCATCTTTCTTGGCCTCCCAAAGTGCTGGGATTACAAGCGTGAGCCACTGTACCTGGTATACTTAGTCATTTTCTGTGGCTAATTTCCTTGGTCAAGGTAAAAGTTATTATTATATCTTAAGTAATAAATTTAAAATTTATATAAAATAAGCTATAGATATGTCTTTGCATTAAGAAAGTTAAAAACTATCAGGTTCAGGGGCTCACATCTGTATTCTTAATACTACTAATATTCTTTACTAGAAATGGCGAAACCCCATCTCTACTAAAAATATGAAAATTAGCTGGGTGTGGTGGTGCGTGCCTGTAGTCCCAGCTACTCAGGAAGCTGAGGCAGGAGAATCACTGTAACCTGGGAGGCAGAGATTGCAGTGAGCTGAGATTGTGCTATGGCATTCCAGCCTGGAAGACAGAGTGAGACTCTGTCTCCAAAAAAGGAGAAAGTTAAAAATTGTTAATCCTCAAACTTATCCTTATCAGATTTTGCTTCATGTATTTTAAGGCTCTGTTATTAGGAGCATGTATGTTTATAATTTTTATGTCTTCTTGATGAATTGAGACCTTTTTTTATTATGAAATGGCACTCTCTGGTAACATTCTTTACTCTAGAGTCCAATTTGTCTGATAATAATACAGCCTCTCCAGTTTTGTTAATGTCAGAATGGTATTTGTTATCACCCTTTAAGTTTTAATCTATTGATTTATGTTTAAGATGTATTTCTTGTAGGCAGCATACAGTTGTGTTAGGCATTTTAACCAATTCAACAACCTCTGACTTTTAGTTAGGGTATTTAGACCATTCATTAGATAATTTATATTATATTTAGGTAGTTTATATATCATTAACATTTATATGATTGGGTTTAAATCTACCATCTTGCTATTTGTTATTTGTTTTATCTGCTTTTTGTTCTCTTTGTCCTCTTTTTCTACCTTGTTTTGAACTGAGTATTTTTTTATGACTTCATTTTATCTTCTTTGTTGGCTTATTTGATGTAAGTCTTTGTAGTATCACTTTAGTTGTTAACTACAGGGTTTATAGTATACATACTTTATCACCATCTATCTTGTGATAAATTTTGGTAATTATTTATTTAAATTCTTTTTCTGTCTGCAAGTTTCTCTCCTCATTCAGGGACTTCAGTTATAGGCATTCTCCTTATAGTTGTCCCACAGCTAACTGATATTCTGTTCTTTTTTTTTTTTCAGTAATTTTTCTCTCTGTAGTTGATTATGGATTTTTTTTTTACTATTTCTTCAAGTTCACCAATCTTTCTTCTGACACTAAGCCATCCAGTGTATTGTTTTCATCTCATGCATTGTAGTTTTAATCTCTAGAAGTTCTTTGTTTTTAATATCTCCAATGTTGCTACTTAACATTTTTAATCTTTTATTTTTGCTTTTTGAACATATTAACTACTAATATGATAATTGTTTTAATGTTCTTGTCTACTAATTCTATTATTTGTGTCATTTCTGAGTCACTTTTAAATTGAATGATTTTTTTTTTCCTCATTATGGATCATACTTTCCTGCTTCCTTGCATGTCTGGTAATTTTTTGTTGGATGTCAGACATTATGAACTTTACCTTGTTGGGTTCTTGATACTTTTGTATTCCTGTAAATATTATTAAACTTGCTTTTGGGATGCAGTTAAGTTACTTTAAAACAGGTTGGCTAAAAGGGAGTTTTAGGTCTTCCTTCTAGCTTTATTGGGAAGAACTGAAGCAGTATTTAGTCTAAGGTTAATTTTCCCCACTAATGAGCCAAGATCATTCTTTGTACTCCTACCCAACATCCCATGAATTATGAGGTTTTCTACTCTGGCTGTTGGGAAAAGGTATTTTTCCTGGATGTCTGTGATCTGTGGACACTGTTGGCTCTGATTCTTTTCGATGGTTCTTTTCTCTGGCCATGGGTAGCTTCCTCACCTGCTTGTACAAATCAGTACTCAACTGTATACCTTAGGGGACCCTCTGGAACTTTCTCTGTGGTTTTGTAGTTTTCTCCCATCCCTGCATTGCAGTCTGAAAATTTTCTCTAGGCAGTAAGCTGAGGCAATTGTAGGATTCACCTCATGTGTTTCCCATCTCTCAGTGATTCCTTTGTTGCCTGATGGCTTATTCTGATTTTCTAGTTATATATTTTATTCCTACATGTTAAAACATTGAATGATATAGTTATTATTGCTTTCAATAGTTAATTTTTTCATCTATTAATTTACCCTCCCTAGAGTTGTTCATTCTTTTTTCCACTTTCATATTCTATCTGGTATCATTTTCCTTAGAGCCAAAGAACATCTTCTGCTTTTTTCTTAGATTTTATTTGCCTGTTATTTTTTGAGAAGGAGTTTCATTCTTGTTGCCTGGGCTGGAGTGCAATGGCATGATCTTGGCTCACCTCAACCTCCACCTCCCAGGTTCAGGTGATTCTCCTGCCTCAGCCTCCTGAGTAGCAGGGATTACAGGCATGTGCCACCATGCTTGGCTAATTTTGTATTTTTTGTAGAGATAGGGTTTCTCCATGTTGGTCAGGCTGGTGTCTCGAGCTCCTGACCTCAGGTGATCCACCTGCCTTGGCCTCCCAAAGTGCTGGGATTACAGGTGTGAGCCACTGTGCCTGGCCTACCTGAGAAATTTTTGAAACTTTTTTCTTGACTTTGAAAAATATTTTTTCTGAGTATAGAATACAAGTTTGGCAGTTTTTTCTTTCAGCACGTGAAAGTTATCATTACATATAGTCTTGTACTTGGAAGCCTTAATTATGATGTCAGTGGATTTCTTGTGATTGTCTTTATTCTCTAGTTGCTTTTAAGATTGTCTTTTTAATATTTGGTTTAATAAGTTTGACTTTTATGTACCTACATGTCATTTCCATTGTATTTATCCTATTTGGAGCTTGCTAAGCATCTTGAAGATTTTATTAATACCTTTCATTAATTCAGAAAGTTATCAGCCATTTTTCTCAAATGATTACTTCTTTCTTATTTTGTCTTTCTTCTCTTCCTAGAACTTCATATATTTTACATTTCTTACTGTGTGAGGTTCTTTTTACCTTTTTCCTTTTTGAGGTTCAATTTGGATAATTTCATTAAGTTCATTCATCTGGATATATGTTGTTTTCTGTCTACTGTCAAAATCCTCAAGTAAGTTCTTTACTTTTTAGTCAACTTACTAACTAAATTTTATTTAAGTTTGCTCTCCTAGAATTCTAGGCTGCTTCTTTTAAAGAAAAATCCTCATCAAGATATATACAATAAACTGTACCCATTTAGAGTGCATATTTGGATGAATTTTGATAGCTGTAGACTCCTGTGAAATCACTGCCACACTCAAGATACAGAATATACCTGTTACCCCTCAAATATTTCCCAGTATCCCTTTGCAGTTCACTTCTACTTCTGATCCTGGCCCCCAGCTCACTGATTTGCTGGACTCACTATAAATTAGTTTGCATTTTCTAGAATTTATATAAATGAAACCACACAGTATGTATTTTTGGTGTCTTGTTTCTATCAGCATGATGATTTTGAGATTCATCAATGCTATTACCTATGTCAGTAGTTCATTCCTTTTTATTATTAAGTAGTGTTACTTTGTACTGAGGTACTACTACCTGTTTATCCATTTTCCATTTGATGAACACATGGGCTGTTTTACATTTTTGGTTATTGTGAATAAGGCCACTATGAAGATTTGCGTTTAACACTTTGTGTGAACCCTTTTTTTTTTTGATCTACAGGTTGAATGCATAGAACTGGAATGGCTGGTCATATGATAAGTGTATGTTTAACTTTATAAGAAACTGCCAGTTTTTTGAACTACATTTAACTACCTTTAGAGTAGCTTTAGAGTTACATTCACGCCTTTAGAGTGTAAACTCCAATTGTTCCACATCTTCGCTAACATTTGGTATTATTAGTCTTTTAAATTGTGGCCATCCTAATGAAGTGGTGTCTCACTGTAGTTTTAATACGTGTTTTCCTAATGACTAACCATGTTGAAAACCTTTCCATCTGCTTACTGGCCATTTGTATATCTGCTTTCGTAAAATGTATGTTCAAATATTTTGTCCATTAAAGAAACTGAATTATCTTATTATTGAGCTTTGGGAGATTTTAAAAATATATTTTGTATACCAGTTGTCAGCTATTTGTAGTGTGAATATTTTCTACTATTCTGTGACTTTCCTTTTCATTTCTTAACGGTGCCATTAAAGGGCAAAAATTTTGAATTTTGATAAAGTCTAACTTACCAAATTTTTAACTTTTATGATTCATACTTTGTGTCTTAAATATTTGCTTAACCTCAAGATCACAATATTTTTATTTCATGTTTTATTCTAGAAGTTTTATATCTTTTACTTTTAGATTTAGGTCTATGATCTACTTTAATTTTTGTATATTGTATGAAGTGAACTGGCTGACCAACTTATCATATATTGCCTAAAATAACTTATTTTATAATTTTTACAAATATATTTATCAGTATTCTCCATTTTAAAAAATAGTCAAGAGGCATTCTTTTGTTTATAGACTATACATTCAGTTTTGCCTATGTAAAGTTGTATAAACTTATGGTGAAATGGGGCAAATACCTGCAGGCTTAGAATTTTTGGAAGCGAAAAATTTTTACTTTTACCATTATTTCTTTAAGTTTATTGAGATATACTATTAACATTTATAGTCATTATTCCTACTTTAACAACAAACAAGGCTCAGAAATATTAATATTTTATTCGGTTATAAACACAAACCTATTTATGTTAATACTAGACTTGAGATCAAATCTCCAAATGCCAAATTCCTCACTTTTGCTTATGTGAAATGGAAAAAAGGTACAAAATGTTTATAAGAGGGGTAGGTCAGATGAGTACAGCTCAAATATTAACTTTCTCTTCTATTCATAAATAGATAATGTTATATACATGGGTATCATTATCATATTTATTATTCATTGACAACATCTATTAAACATGAAAAAGCCTACTGTATGACTTTTATTCTGCAAAGAGTCCAGGTAGAATAGTGACAGTGTGTTAACTCCTACTTGAAATGGTCTATTTTCAAATAGTCTGACTTGATGAGTTTTCCATATTTTTTCTTTGGGAGATCATTTTCCACAGCTTAATGTCAAGATAATTTCATTTATCACCTTAGCTAATTTACTTTTCTTCATTTGTGTTGTAAGAAACTGAATGCATCTTTGCAGTTTCATCTGTCAAAAGCTTCTAAATAGCTGTCTTTCAAGCACATTAATTATTTTGTAGCCAGCCTTCCTGTGGTTATCCTTTTGGTCATTTGGTAGCTTTCCCTCATCTCTCTGAGAAATTTCTCTGATTATCAGTTGTTATCTGATAAACGGATTACTTACATAATGAAATTCAAACTTCTTTTCAATATAATACTGAAGAATGTAGTAGTGATTAGGTCATCCTCTTATTCAAGGCCTTAAGGAACTATCTATACCTTTCACATAAAGTTCAAGCTTCTTTGTTTAGCATTCAGGCCAATCACACCAGTTAAAAGTTGATATGGTTTGAATATTTGTCCCCACCAAATCTAATGTTGAATTGTAATCTCCATGTTGCAGGTGGAGCCTGGCAGGGAATGTTTGTATCATGGGGGCAGATCCCTCATAGATTGCTGCTATCCTCATGATAGTGAATGAGTTTTTGTGAGATCTGGTTGTTTAAGTGTGTGGTACCTTCCCCCACCCAATCTCTCTCTTGCTCCTGCTTTCGCCAGGTGATGAGCCTACTCTTGCTTGTCTTCCACTATGAGTAAAAGCTCACTGAGGCTTTCCCAGAGGTTGGGCAGATGCCAGCACCATGCTTATATAGCCTGCAGAACCATGAGCCAATTAAACCTCTTTTTAAAATAAATTATCCAGTCTCAGGTATTTCTTTATAGCAATGCAAGAATGGCCTAATAGAGATGTAATATTCCTCCCTCATATGACACTCTGTCTTCATACCTCAAACATGACATTTAACATATGCTCTGGTTGGGTATTTGTCCCCTCCAAACCTCATGTTGAAATTTGATCCCCAAAGTTGGAGATGGGGTTTAATAGGAGGTGTTTTGGTCATGGGGGTGAAACCCATGAATAGAACTATGACCTCCCTAGGCAGGTAGTAGGTGCTCACACAATTAATTCCTCAGAGCTGGCCGTTAAAAAGAGCCTGGCACCTCTCCTACCTGTCTTTTGTTTCCTGGGTCACCAAGTGATCTCTGCATAGCTGGCTCCCCTTTGCCTTGGCCTTTTGCCGTGAGCGGAAGCAGCCTGAGGCCCTCACCAGATGCAGATACCCAATCTTGAACTTTCTAGCCACCCTGAATTGTGAACCAAATACATCTGTTTTCTTTATAAATTACTCAGTTTCTCAGGTAGTTCTTTATAACAACACAAAATAGACTAAAGGTAACAAATCTTTATAATACAGTTGCAGTTGTACAAAGACATAATTTATATGGATTCAAGTCTTAGTAAAACTTAAAGAGAATACTTTAAATTGAAATACTTCAGTTTTAACTACCAGTTTTGTATCATTCAGGTTCAATCAGAGAAGCAGAACTTGTAAAAGTGATATAAAATATAAAATTTTCTATGAGCACTGGGCCCTTACATAGTTCTAAGAGTTGGTTAAGTCATCTCTGTCTGGTGTTGGCCACTGTGTCTGGTGTAGGGCCTAAAGCTGGCAATGCCAATAGGAAGAAAAGATGGTCATGACCTGGGGAAGAATAAGGAAAGATTAGAACTGGTGAGAACAATCTGGAGCCCACAAGTGAAATCACCTTCACAAAAATTATGACAGTGAGAAAAATCTGACACGGGAAAATTATGGCAGTAAAAGAAATCTGTCCTAACGAACTCCATCTTGCTTCTAACCTCCAAGCTGCCCTTGTTCGTCCCAGGCATAGGCTGAACTAACTTCGGAAGGAATTTATAGCTTAACTTTGAAACCAAGATGATAACAGCCCCTCCCTGAAACAAATTCCCTCCTTGCCTGGAGACCAGATGGCCTTTGTAAAACCAACAAATTAGCCACAAGCTCGGAAACCATGGCCTAGGAATCATGCAGCCAGAGGCCACAAGACTGCTAACCCCCCAATTGCTCCTATAGATAATATTACTATTGTAAAAAAGATTGGTGTTTGAGCCGATTTTTCTGACCCTGCATTCTGATGGATTAGTGACACATTCCAGACCAAAAAATTGGCTCATCTGGTCTTATGGCCTCCACCAGAAACTGACTCATCACAAGAGGACAGTTTCAACTTCCTATGACTTCATCCCCGACCCAACCAATCAGCATTCCCCACCCCTAGCTCCTTTCCCACCAAACTAAAAAACCCTAGCCTCTGAATTTTCAAGGAGGCTGATTTGAGTAATAATAAAACTCTAGTCTTCCATCTAGCCAGCCCAACCTGTATTAAACTCTTTCTTTATTACAATTCCCCCATCTTGACAAATTGGCTTCATTTGGACAGTGGGCAAGAAGAACCTGTTGGGCAGTTACATACAGGCAAACTAGATCCTGTGAGGACAAACTGCAACCTACATCTTTCCTTGCATCGAACCTCAGTGATGTGAGTGTCTTACAGGATGAGATGATGCGTTTGGCAACGCTGCTGTGCATGTACCTGGTCTAAGATTCAGAGAAGCAAATGAGGAGATCTGGCAGGAAATGCAGAGCTACAGAGCTGCAGGCCAGGCTGCTGGCCCATGCCAACACGGTGAGCTGGCAGATTAATGCCTGGCCCTACGATGACCTTCAGGGCTTCAGATCAAATGGCTGCTGCTTTACTTCCACCTTCCAAATCTCATACACATTCTCTTTTGATTAACCCTAACCTAGAATCATATACAAAAGGGGGTTCTGGAAAATGTAGTTCTATCTTAGCTAAGTTGACACTCTATGAAGCTACTGCAAGTCTGTTTCTGGGTAAATCCTTGAGTGAGCAAGGGACTGAAGATATACATGTGCTATATTTTCAATCTGTCTCAGTTCATGAGTGCATTTCAAAGTGTAAGCATGGCACAGTGTTGAGTACATACAATTCTACTATTTGGTTGAATTTTTAAAATAAGACTGCTTTCCTAAACTCTAGCCAACTGTTTCATTACATCTCTCCTGAAAAAAGTTACCTGCTCCACTGTCAGGGAAGAAACTGTTTGCACTGGGTCTATAAACTGAGAAATGGCATATGTGGATATCTGACATGGTCCCTTCCCAAGAAGGGATTTCTAGAGTAGTTTTCCTACATCCGATTTTCTTTTTTTTTTTTTTTTTTAGACAGAGTCTCACTCTGTCACCAGGCTGAAGTGTAATGCCACAATCTTGGTTCATCTAACCTCCACCTCCCAGGTCCAAGTGACTTTCCTGCCTCGGCCTCCTGAGTAGCTGGGATTACAGGCACCTGCCACCACACTTGGCTAATTTTTGCATTTTTAGTAGAGACGGGGTTTCACCACGTTGGCCAGGATGGTCTCAAACTCCTGACCTTGTGATCCACCCACCTGAGCCTCCCAAAGTGTTGGGATTACAGGTGTGAGCTGTACTGGTCTCTAATTTTCAATTTACACTTTGACTTTGAAACCCAATCCTGATTTCAGAACCTCCTGCAGTAAATATTTGTTAAAATGATGAAAAATGAATTGTGAACTTCTCATCTGTAGGGATTTTCTGGTAAGTGTCTGTATTCCTTTTAGCAACTAGCAAAGTGCTTGGCACAAATTAGATACTCAATAGATGTGGGTTAAATAATTTATTGCAAATTTCTATTCTGGTGTTGTGTAATGAGTATTTTTTTAACAGTTATTTTTTTTGCTTTTTAATTTTGTTATTTTGTGTGTGTGTTTTCTTTTTCAATAGTCTTCCAAGTTGCCTTTAATATAAGCCGCATAATATCATGTGTGCTTTGAGGCTTGGGTAAAGAGGATTGCCCATTTGATGTGGGTTTTGCAAGGCAAGTTGTAGCTTGCAAAAAAGTAAATGTACATTGAAATATTTGGGAAAATTTTGGCCCTGGGTTTGTTTCCTTCAGTGTTTACATAAATGACTACATTCTCTTCCTCTTTGGTGAATTACCTTAAATGTTATAAAGTAATTTATGCTCTTGGTAAACAGTAAATAAAGGGCAAAAGTGAATGTAAATTTATTGGAATGCCACCTCCTCCTCCATACACAATTTTGCAGGATCTCAAAATACCACTGTTAATTTTTGTGTGTGTATCTTTCCTCAAATATCCCATGTTTACAAAAATATATATGAATATGTAGGCATACTTATATACTTATATTTGAAGGAAATAGGATTACATTATATATACATACTATTCTGATACTGGTTTTCACTTACTGTAATTTGAAACTTTTTCAACATCAGCACATAAACTGTTGAAAATGTATTTCAATGTATGTATTCACAATTTAACCAATTCCCTATGATGGTCATTTTAGGCCAATTCTAAGAATTAGCATTACAAACAATGTTGCATATACATATATCTTTGTATGTATCATGCCAATATATACAAGGAATAAATCTGTAGCAGTGGAAGTGCATGGTTTGCCTGAGCTTTGTTAGAAACTGAAAAGTATGTATTTTCAATATATATATTTATAGCTCATTAGAAGTTTGTAGTGAACACAGGGTTACATGTATCTATACAGCCGCCTCTTTTGTCAAGAGACATTTGACAGAAGGAAAATAAGACCTTGGAAGAAAAGTCTTTGTCCTTATCCTTTTTAGAGCTTCCTTTTGCCATCTAAAATTCACTAATAATTAGCATCCACAACCATCTTCTGGAACTGAAGACAGCTTTTCTAGAGATTAAAAGTATCATCGCTATAATTCAAAATCTAATGTACTATAAAACACTATTTTTATAAATTCATTATCTTAATATGGAATAATGCCAAAATTGCCACTAAATATAGCTAAATTATCTATTAGAATTGATCAGATGCATTTCTCATGACCCATGAATCTACTCTTAGTTATATACACATCAGAAATGAGTATATACATCTGTCAAAAGTGTTCTGTGAGGATGTTTGCAGCAGCATTATTCCCAGTAGCCTCAAAGGGAAGCAGCTCAAATGCCCTTGAACACTGGAATGCATAAACTGCAATACTCACAGAAAGGAATAATATGCAACAGTGTAAATGAAGAAATGATGTGAATTTGAATAGAGCCAGACACAAAAGAATACATGCTATATGATTCCAAAGATTCAAAAGGCAAAAGGAACCTGCAGTATGTGTTGGCTAATGACTGGAGGGGAAATGAGATGCTGATCTGTGGAATGTGCTAGCATTCTATTTCTTGACCTGGATGGGGTTTGCATAGGGATGTTCAGCTTGTGATAATTATCAGCAGAGAAAAGAACTTGCACTAAATTCTTCAGGACGAGACTGGTGACAGGTAGAAACGAGAGGGAAATGACAGTAGTTAAAAAAAGTCAATTCCCTCCTCCACACTTCTCCTGCCCTCCATTTCCTAGGAAGAGAGTCCAGGGAAAAGCAAACCAAGAAACAAACTCCAGCTCAAACTCAAAACTCTCAAAAGATTTGGGGACTCAAATATCCATCTCTCTGGGCAAAAGGCATTCCTCGATTTGTCCGAGGTACAAAAACTACCACTCTATGTTTCTTCGCTGCCCGGGGTCACAGAAGTAAAAAACTATTTTTTTTTAGTTACCACCAACCTCGTTGCCTTTAGCGCCCGAATCACCTGGGCAACCTGGAAGCTGCCCATCTAAAGGGGTGAGGTCGAATCCCAGTCTTGACGCCTTAGCAACTGAGCGAACCTTTCTCGCGTCCCAGCGACGCGCCTCGCCCCGCTCCGCTCTTCTCTCTGCCGGGCCTATTCTTCCTGGTCCTACTCCCCTTCTCGACGCTGCAGCTCGCCCCTCACCGGGTCTCTCGCTGGTCCACAGGGCTCGGGTCTGTACATTCAGTGCGGGACAGCAGTTCCGGCGGCTCCTGCTGAGAGGGCCGCCCAAGAGCCAGAGCAGTGGAGAGGGACAGGGAGAAAGAATGTTTTTTATTTAAGAAAGAAGAGAAACAGTCAACAAATTCAAGATTTTCGCCATTCTTATTTTTTAACGACATCCAAAGCTCCTTGGAGAAGGGGCTGGAGGGTGGGAAAATCATTTTGTACACACTCCATAAAAGAAAGAAGAGACCCATCGAGGATTCAGTACGGAGTCAACTGGAAATTGGAGATGTTGGACACGATAGCTCCTGCCCTGCAGGACCTGGGCAGGCAGGTGCTGCCCATGCTGCCCTCACTGAGCCAGGAGGGTAAGCGTTAAGTGTGTTGGGGATCAGGGAGGGGGGTGGCCCAGGGGACTGAACCTTCATCTGCTTGTTGGGGAGGCAGGGAGATCCACTTTTCTATTCCCTGGCTCAGCCCCGCCTGCAGTGGCTAAGTTTCCTTGACAACTAGCTGGTAATCACAACAGGCCCATGTTGGTCACCCAGAGACAATTTTCTAGTTTTGATTAAACTAGGTGATGCATAGACAGCGCTTAGTTCAGGGACTAGCACAAAGTAAGTGCTCAATAAAGGTTAGGTAAAAACAACCACTCCCACCACACCCACTGGGATGGATCACAACCCTTTTGCCTACCTAGATAAAAGAAGTGCAGAGACCCTAAATGGCTCTTTTTGAGAGTTCATGCAAAGACAGTTGCTTTCATTGCCTTTGACATCGTGCAGTTGCATTAAGAAAATGAGATGATCATAAAAAGATACAGGGTAAGTACTTTGGAAGGGGACTTGGCACCTTTTCAGAGAAAACTCATTAGGTTGGGTTAGTAGCAAGGTAAGATCTGTTTTTAGCATCGTTTGTAGAAGAGTCACCCCAAAGTGAAGCTCAGGTCTATCTGCAAACCATAGGAGCACTTTGGAAGAAAGGTGCTGCAAAAATGCAAGCTCTTATTATTATCAAGCCATTATAATTTTGAGATGTTGCTTAGGCTTTAACTAAGTGACCACAGGAAATAAACAGGAACGGATGCTTCTTCTTTGTCTTCCCCTGCATCACTCCTATCTTTTCCTCTCAAAATCATTCTGAAAGAAGCACTGAAGATAATGGTTTTATGAATTTAAAAAACATTTGCTATATTTGTAAATTTATATATAGTCATTCAAGATGCTTAGCAGTAAACATGTATCTATCATTATAGTCATACAGAGTATTTTCACTCCCCTCTGTTCTGCCTATTCACCCCATCCCTGATCCCAAAGCTGACAACCACTGATCTTTCGATGTCTCCATAGTTTTGCCAGTTCCATAGTTGGAATCATAAGGCTTTCCAGATTGGCTTCCATCACTTAGCAATACGCATTGTGGCTTGAGAGCTCATTTATTTCTAGTTCTGAATAATATTCCATTATCAAGATGTACCACACACCTTCTGTAGTTGCCTTGCAGTCCTTGGATATTCCATTTTTTTTTCTAGATGTACCATAGGTTTTGTTTTTTTTTTTAATCTATTTACTCACTGAAAAACGTCTTGGTTGCTTTCGGCAATTATGAACAAAGCTGCTTTAAATATCTGTGTGCAGGTTTTAAAAAACTGGATATAAGGTTCTAATTCACTTGGGTAAATACCCAGGGACATAATTGCTAGACTGTATGGTAAGAGGATGTTTAATTTTGTGAGAAACTGCCAGACTGTCTTCCAAAGGGGCTGTACCATGCATTCCCAAGAACAGTGAATGAGAATTCCTGTTGCTCCATGTTATTGTCAGTATTTTAAATTTTCATCATTCTAATAGATTTGTGCTTTGGTATCTCATTGTTTTAATATGCATTGATGATACATAATGTAGAGCACCTTTTCATATGTTTGTTATTTTTTTGATGAGATAACTATTAAGTGCTTTGGCTCATTTTAAAATTGAGTTTTTCTTTTTTTAGTGTTGAGTTTTAAGAGTTATTTGTATATTTTGCATGACAGTGTCTTATGCAAATATTTTTTTCCCCAGTCAGTGGCTTGTCTTCTGATTCAACTGACACTGTTTTTTACAGAGCAGAAGTTTTAAATTTTAATGAAGTCCATCTCATTATTTCTTGCTTGGATTATTACTTTGGTGTTACATCTAAAAAGTCACTGCTACACTCAAGATCATCTATGTTTTGTCCTATGTTATCTTCTAGGAGTTTCATAGTTTTGCACTTTATATTTAGGTCTATGATCCATTTTAAGTTAATTTTTGTGAAAGGTGTAAGGTCTGTGTCTAAGTTCATTTTTTTTTGTTTTTTGCATGTGGATGTCCAGTTATTCTAGCAACATTTGTTTAAAAGACTATCTGCTGCATTGTATTGCCTTTGCTTCTTTGTCTAAGATAAGTTGATTACATTTATATAGGTCTATTCCTGAGCTCTCTAATGTGTTCCATTAATCTATTTGTCTATTCTTTTGTCAACACCACACTGTGTTGATGACTCACCTTATTGTAAGTCTTGATGTTGGGTAGTGACAGTCCTCTAACTTGACCCATGTGTTATCTAGAAGCATATTATTCAGTCTCCATGTATTTTGGGATTTTCCACTTATCTTTCTGTTACTCATTTCTACTTTATCATGTTGTAATCTGAGAGCAGGCATTGTATTATTTCTATCCTTTTCTATTTATTAAGGTGTGTTTTATGGCCTAGAATATGGTCTGTCTTGGTGAATGTTACATGTGAGCTTGGGAAGAATGTGCATTCTGCAGTTGTTGGATAAATTAGTCCATAGGTATCAACTATATCCATTCACTTGATGGTGCTGTTGAGTTCAACCATGCCTTTACTGATTTTCTGCCTGCTGGATCTGTTCATTTCTGATGGATGAGTACTGAAGCCTTCAAGCATCATAAGGGATTCATTTATCTCTTCTTGCAGTTCTATTAGTTTTTGCCTCTTGTAATTTGACATACTGTTTTTAGGTGCATACACATTAAAAATTGTTATGTCTTCTTGAAGAACTGACCCCTCTATGATTATGTAATGCTCTTTATTTCTGAAACTCTCCTTGATTTGAAGTCTATTCTGCCTAAAATTTATAGAGCTACCTGTGCTTTTTTTGTTTCTTTTGGTTAGCATTACCCTAGTATATTTTCCTCCATCCATCTACCTTTAATCTATATGTTTTTAGATTTGGGGTTCTTTTTTTTTCCTCCTGGTATTTCCATTATGGGTACACACCTTCTGCAGTTGCCTTGCAGTTTTTGGATATTGTTTGTTTGCTTTTCCAGTCTTTGTTCACTTTCCTTTTCAAGTTTCCTTTTCACATCTTCAAGCTCAGAGATTTTTTACTAAGTCATGTTCAGTCTATTAGTAAGCCAATCAAAGGCATTCTTCATTTCTGTTACAGTGTTTTTAGTTGCTAGCATTAATTTTTGGTTCTTTCTTAGGATTTCAATCTCTTTGCTTATGTTGTCCATCTGTTCTTGCATGCTGTCTACTATATCCTTAGTATATTAGCCATAGTTGTTTTAAATTGCCAGTGTGATAGTTCCAACATCCCTGCCATGTCTGGCTCTGATGGCTGCTCTGCTTCCTCACATTGTATGTTTTGCCTTTTAGTATGTCTTGTAATTTTTTCTTTATAGCTAGATGTGATGTACTGGGTAAAAGTAACTTCTATAAATAGGCCTTTAGTAATGTATGGGTATGGTGTGGGGAGTCCTATGATCAGGTCTCAGTCTTTTAGGGAGCCTGTGCCTCTGGACTGTGAACGTTAGAAATGTTTCTCAGTTTTTTCATTTCTCCTTAGGTAGGACAGAATGGCTAACATGGGGTGAAGTTGGTCATTTCCCTTCGCCCAGGTCAGGCAGGCTCTGGTAATATCTCAGCAGGTTAGTGAACTAGTTTCTTCTGAGGGCAGGTCCTTAAGAACAGCAGAGTGCTCTGGCATATTTAAAAATGGTATTTTTCTCTTTCACCAACAGAAGCACAAGGAGATTTTTCTCTCATATTTACCTGGATATTTAACTGTGGGAACCTGGCTGAGCTCTGGAAAGTAAACCTTACACTATGTGGGGACCCTCCTCCATGACTTGGCCCCCCTCGAGGTTTTAACTCTCAGTGTTGTCTACACTGAGCCTCCAGATATTTGTCAATTAAGTTTGGGTTTTCTTACCCTAGCATTGGTTCTTGATGCTGTTTCTGCATGTGAGTCTGTTTTAGGAAACCATTCCTACTGGTATTTGCCCTTCTGTCTTTCCAGTTTTAGGGTAGCCGTTTACCCTGTATCCTCCTTTATCTTATGGGTCCAAGAAGAATTGTTGATTTTTCAGTCTGGTCAACTTCTTAGTTGTTAGGATGGAGTGGTGACTTCCTTACATACAGAACCAAGAACTGGAAGTCAAAAGAGAATTTTTAATACAGAATAAGGATGGGTGTGTGCCAAGAATGGCTAAAGAAGGGATAATTTGAGCTGAGTTGTGAAGAATGAGTTGAAATCAAGTAAATGAAATGGATCAGAGAGGTAGAGAGTGAAGGTGTGGTGAAAATGATTTTGGCAAAGAGAATGACGGGGCAAAAACTCTACAGTAAGAGTATGATGTAGCCAGGTACAGTGGCTCATGCCTGTAATCTCAGCACTTTGGGTGGCTGAGGCAGGTGGATCACAAGGTCAGGAAGATTGATACCATTCTGGCCAACATGGTGAAATCCCACCTCTACTAAAAATACAAAAATTAGCTGGGCATGGTCATGCATGCCTGTAATCCCAGTTTTTCAGAAGGCTGAGGCAGGAGAATCGCTTGAACCAAGTAGTCGGAGGTTGCAGTAAGTCAAGATCATGCCACTGCTCTCCAGCCTGGTAGACAGGATAAGACTCTGTC